GAAGGGGGTTGGGGACTAGGCCGCTGCCTCCCACCCAGGGCAGCCAAGGGAAGGGGGGACCCCTACACCCCAAGGACCCTTCAGTGTGTGGCAGGGTTTGGTGGGGCAATGAGGAGGTTTGGAGATGGAGCAGCAAAGTGAGAAATCAAGTTAGTGGACACGGGCCACGCAGGAGGGGCAGTGACAGGCTCTCCCTGAGACCCCCAGGGAGAGGCGGGGGCGGCTTGCCTGTTAATTTAATATTAAAGGGGGTGGGGGCTGGAGAGGAGAAAGTTACTTCAGGGACGACTCCACAGCCTGGCAGCCTGTACCTAGAGGAAGAAGACAGTGTGGTCAGCGGGAAGAAAAAAGCAGTCCTGGCCAGGGCCTCAGCCACCCGCGGGAGAGGTCTCAGGATGATGTCAGGCAGGGTCAGCTGCGCACCAAGCAGAGGACACAGTCCCCTCCCAGCCCCTCCCGGGGCTGTCACCTCCTGGCTCCCCTCCGAGCTTACAGCAGGGTGCAGGCGTGGCCTTCACCAGTCATAGCGCCGGGACTGTCGGGAGGGGGAGTCCTCTGGTCCCTGGATGGCCAGGCGGGGAGGCCCCTCCGTCCTGCGTCCCCCGCCTGCGGATGCCTCGTGCCGCCGGAACTCCAGAGGGCGCTGCTGCCGGAACCTGGATGTCTCCCTCCGCCACTCATCATCGAAGGCGGCTGCCTCACCTGCAGAGCAGAGGGACCTGGAACCTGGCCTGAGCCACACCTACTTCGACCCAGAGCTGCAATGGCGGGGGACGCAGGGGTCAGCCCCACAGCCCCTGGCTCTAGCAGGGCGAGGGCAAGACTACTGGCCAAAGAAAACCGCAATTACACCAACTGTGGGTATTTACCGAGTATTTGCTAATTTGAAAAAAAATAAAAGGAGGAATTGGAACATCGGTTCCATTGGGGAAGGGGAGAAAAACACCAACATGAGATGGACCACAGATGCCTGAGCAGACAGGAGGTTCCGCCTGGGGTTCCCTGCATCTGGCCCCCAACACATGAGGGGTGGAGCAGTCTCACTCTCATCCAGGTTGATGTAGTCCTGCCGTTCCTCCTGGTCCCCAGTGCGGTGGTTTCGGGAGCGCTGGAGGATGTGAGCCCTGTCCCGGATGTGGTGGCCGATGGACATCTGCTCCAGTCCGCTATCCGAGTCACGCACAGTCCTCCGTGTCTCCCGGATCTGCCACACGGCAGAAGCCAGCACACTTGGCAACCCCTTCCAAAGCTCCAGCTACATGGCCCCAGCAGGAACTCCACCCACAACCTGTTCGGAGGAAGAGCCGGGTCCCTGGGTGACTGCCTCTGCCCACTCACCCCGCCGGGTGCGGAGCGCATCTCGGAGGTCTCCTGGTAGACCTTGGGGGCACCATCGCCCGTGTTGGAGTAGGAGATGACAGTGGAGGACGAGAAGGTCTGGCAGTTCCCCCCTGCTGTCATGTGCTCCTGAGGAGGACAGGGAGGCTGGGGCTGAGGGGAGGAGGGCCCTCTGCAGAGGACTTGCCTTCAGCCCAGGGTGCTTCACCACTGAGCTCCATCTCCAGACGTTTTAATTTTGACACAGGATCTAAATTGCCCAGGCTGAATGTGAACCTACAGCCTTCTGCCTCAGCCCCCCAAGGAGCAGCGGTGACAGGCAGCACCCCTGCACCCAGTCCACTGCATGGTCCTGCCTGCGTGTTTCCCACAGTATGAGAATAAGGGAAATGTTGCTACTCCCAGATTCCTGAGTCCAGCACCAAACAAGAAAAGAAAAACAACAGGCTGACTTGGGAATTTCGTCTGGTGCCTCTGCACACATGGGCCTGAGGCACAGGTGCAGGCACCCGCTCAGTTGCCTTCCCGAAGCACCCCTCCAGCCCAGCATCAGCGAGAAGAAAGGGCCAGGGAGGTGGGGCAAGAGGCTTACCATGTTGCCGATCATATCGTTCATCATCCCAAACATGTCCATGAAGCCACCCGACTGGAAGACAGGAAAGCACTCAGTGCTTGGTCCCCTCCATTGCAGCAACTGCCCTTCCTTCTCATTAATGCGCACACTCTCTCCAGGTACCGCTGGCGGCCTCCTCCTTCTCTGGGACTGGCTGCACCCAAGAGTCCCTTTCCTGACTGCCCTGCTTCCCCCATCTTGGGGGAATGAGCCAGTTACTCACAGGGGCACTAACCTCACCTTCCCACTTGTCCCTTGCACCTCCCTCTTCAGGAGAGTCAACTTTGCTTGCTACACCGTTACATCTTCTGGTTGGAAGGGGCCAGGCTCCCAGGGCCAGACTGGCTGTGACTTTGCCCAAAGCAGTATCAGAGGATCCGGGACCACCATGAGGCTATTCCAAAGTGCACATTTGGAAACAACATCTAAAGTTGTACCATAAAAGTAAAGGGACACACAAAGACTCACCATTCCTAGCATCCCGAAGGGGGAGACAGCCCCAGCCTATAGCGGTACAGGAAGAACACAAAGCAGAGATTACTCAGAGCCCCTCCTGCTTCCTTATAATTGCAAACCAGGCCTGTGGCCTCCATTTTTCTCTCTGTCCTCTCTAAAGGGGCCACAAAGCTCTTTTCCTAGCCCGGGCCTCCACGTCTACAAAACCACATCACTTGCTAAGCTGCTTGTAGCGAAAGAAAACACCCCCCAATCTTCCCCTGGGTCTTCAAGGGTTGTTTCCGCTCCCCTACCTGCACCCTGCGGCCCGCAGGTCTGGTCCCAGGCATGTTGCCATCAGTGATGCTGAGGAAGGGGCTGTACCCAAAGCCCCCGGACAGCATGCGGCTCATGTGCTGACGGTGAATGGCGAAAGGGTCCCTGCGGAGTGAGCAGACAGTATGGGTGGAGGAGGGCCGGCTCTCCCCACCCCGGAACAGCAGCCACGGGGCGCAGTGACACAGATGCGACTCCCTTCCAGTCTGAGCTACGGCGGATCCGGCCAGTCCCCGTCACGCGATCCCGTATCTGTCTGCACTGCTGGAGTGGAGTGGGATGTGAGGGAGAGGGAATTCTCACATCAAGAACATGGGATCCTCGGGCTCCACGTCCCTCATGAAGCGGAACATCCTGATCTCAGCTCCAGGGGGCTCCACACTGGAAAGACCGGGAGGCTAGGTTACTCGGAGGCGGCCGGGATTCTGCATACCCGCTCGCCCGGCGCAGCGCCGCTCAGAGCGCGGCCCCCTCCGAATCCTGCAGCTGACCCCCAACTCCAGCGAGCGCCTTCTCCAGGGGTCCCACGCCGTGCCCGGGCAGTGAAGGGTGCTCCAGTCCCAGCTCCAGGGGGCTCCACACTGGAAAGACCGGGAGGCTAGGTTACTCGGAGGCGGCCGGGATTCTGCATACCCGCTCGCCCGGCGCAGCGCCGCTCAGAGCGCGGCCCCCTCCGAATCCTGCAGCTGACCCCCAACTCCAGCGAGCGCCTTCTCCAGGGGTCCCACGCCGTGCCCGGGCAGTGAAGGGTGCTCCAGTCCCCCCCGATCGGGCCAGGAGAG